ACCTACCCCTGTGTGTGAACATTTGATTTCACATACGTTTTTTAGTTGAGTCTCTGTGCTCTTCAATCATACTTGCCAGAGCGACAACTTACTTAACATCGACGTACAATCTGAATTGTTCGACAGCTGGTGCTAAATTTATTAGAGTCTTTCCAGGAACAGAATGAAAATAGCCGTCCCCTGTTACCCCCCTCAGGCGTACCGGAGAGAGTAGCAGATGCGTCCATGGTACGGAGACTCGATCTGTTTCCTTATTTCATATGGCGTTGACGACGTAACCGCCAAGAAGGGCGACTACGATTACATATTGTCATTCTCGTGGATGTTTAGTTTAAAAACGGTGACCGCGATGGCTGATACGTCAGTGAAAAGTAACTTAATCATATATTTATCAGAAAAAACAAAAAAATGATCTATGTCGTGTATTTTTCAATGTAGTCGTATAAGGTTAATAGAAACGGAAAAATCTACACGCTGTGATGATCTTTTAGGTCCCATTACTACAATTTTCCTAGACGCAGTGATGGATAGTGTTATACTACGTAGTGACAGCAAGACAGATAGTAACGCCACGCTTATTAATTCGTGAATGTTATTGAATTCACAATGAATGTTCAAACTGCCTTCCTTCAACAGCAATGCGAGCTTGAGATATTCTTAAAAATGATAATTATTACGACTATTAATAGATCCTAAAGTACCTTTCTTTAAAGTACAAAATAATTAATAAATCTATAGTGTATTTACACCCAAGATAGAATGGATGCGTGATTGCCAAAAGCAAGAACGGCGTACAGGGCCAACGTGTTGTCAAACAAAGATGACAGTATTTAACAGAAACAGAAACTTAACAAATTACTCAAATACACTTAACAACAACAACAGCAACAACCAAGCAAGGTGAATACGAAAACACGAGCACGCAGTGATACACGCGACGGACGGTGGCCTGAGTGCAACTCTGCCTGCCCTGCCCCTGCCCCGCGCATTATTCCGCCAGGCGACCGCTTGAAATTTAATGGCGAATTGACCAATAAGAGGCGTTGTCCCCACCTGTTACCGAGAGATCACGCGCTAACTGTTATTATTTACATCTCATCTTGAATTTGGATTCAGTTTAGTATTCAGTAAATTTTGCCTCCACTGCTGTTTAAGCATAAAAGAATGTTTGTACTGAGCGCAACCAGTTGGAGCAGCATCCGCATCAGCTTTCCGTTCTAGTCGCTTTCCTCCAGGTGAAAGCAAACACCCTCCCGTCTCTCCCGGCTACCCCGTCCCCCGCTACGCCCCTCTCCTCCATTTTGCGGGCCCACCAACCGGAGCGGATATCGGTTCGAGCTCGATTTCACGAATCTGAGAATCAGCCGAGCGTTCCGGAACCGCCACCGGCTTTCTTATCTTATTGATTTTCTACAGACTCCCCTTTGCTCCCCCTACGCCCGCGTGTCTTCCGACCCTTCAGGGGAACGTCGCGAAGGGAAGCACAGCGTCTTCCAGGTTTCGAGTTCCCTTTCGGAGTCAGCGGCCGTGGCAAAAGTGTAACTTTGGAATATTTAAAATAGTGATCGAAGTTATATCCATCATCACCCTGTATTTTATATAATATTATAATTATTATCTGGGTACTTGTATTTCTTGCTAGCATTGTCGCTACGCTATGGAATCTTATACTAAGTGACATATAAATCCGAACACCCAGTTTAAATGGTTTTATTTTAATAAAGTACTTAATGAAGCATAATAAGTAAATGATAAAAATTTCAAAATGATTGCACTGCTTCAAAGCCCTTCGACCTTTAATAATGTGTGGATGCACCCTGATGTGCTACGCATTCTCCAACGCGCCTAGGCATGCTTCTGATCAGGTGGTCAATGTCCTCCTGTGGTATCTCATTCCAGGCAACCACCGACTCCTCTCGAAGTGCTTCTAGAGTCCGAGGAGGATGTTGCAAATTGAGCAATCTCCTACCCATAATATCCCACACGTGCTCAATTGGGGATAAGTCGGGAGATCTGGGTGGCCATGGTAACAATGTGACATCATTATGTTGAAAGAAGTCTATTGTGACTCTTGCAACATGTGGTCGGGCATTATCTTGTTGGAAAGTTAGATCTGCCAGGGTGTCAAGATAGGGTAAAAGATGGGGTTCTAGAACTACGTGGATATGACGCTGCGCGTTCATGTTACCTCTGATGAAGATTAAAGGTGACCTGACACCATAAGCTATAGCACCCCAAACCATAACTCCAACAGTGTGATGAACATGTCTTTCAGCTGCGGCTGAAATATTCATTTTTAGAGCGTTAGTGAATTAAAAAAAAGCAGTATAAAAACCGGAATATCCAACTGATAAGGCTGAAAATTTTTTCACTTGTTATTTACAGTAAGATAAATACATTCACCAACTTTTAGTATATTATATATTTATGTCACTTAGTATACATTGGAAATCCAAAAAGTTCAAAAAATGCATTTCCACCATGTCTAAGGTATACTAATCACCCCCTTTCAAATTAAAAATCTTTAGACGATTCTGTATAGAAATTCTGATCATTCGAAGGTAAATAATATTTGAAAGACAATAAGTACATAAAAACTGTTGGATACACACAAAACTTCGAGTACTTTTGTACGAAAGAAGCACGGATACAAAACAGTGGAAGCTATTGGATGGCTGTCTTCTCGTCAAGCATGGAATCCTTTTAAATAACAGTACTCGTAAGGCAAAAATATCGCATTCGGTAACTCCATATCGAGTATCTGTGGCGCACATTAAGTGTCAATTTATGAAATAGCCTCGACCCAACATCGAACAATGATGGTCGAAAACACAAAGAGCCACTCAACGTGGTCCATTGGAAACAATCGTGCAATCACTGCCCCTTCCACTGTTTCCCACCCCCGCATAGGGGACTGTCAATCAGACTGGTGACATCGTTCAACCCTTCATGACATTTAAATCGAGAATATGTGCTAATAGGGAAGATGAGATATTCTTTTTGCTTTCGTGTTAAAAACAATTTTGAGAATATACTCGTTTACTGGTAGTACCGTTCATCTGGCAACGTCGCCCTTCTCTCATACATGACCACATGACGCGTTAGACTGGCACACCCGACGGTGAACCCAGAGAGCAGAAGTAGATACGCATGTTCTCTATCATTGTTTTAAGGATAAATGTATGGGGAATCAATGATGTATGAGATACGCCTAACAGGAGCACGGTTTATTTTCGAAGAGCTGAATTTTAATGAAGATGCAAAAATGTACAACATTTTCCTTAAACGGTATCAAAAACATGTCTGTCTTTCGTTTACGGCTGAAACCAGGAAATCACGAAATACAGAAGTTGAGAAAAATAGTGGTAACAGGTAAGTCGAATATCTAAAGGGTTGTCCGATAGGGACGCAGGAAAGTAAACGTCAATTTGACATAGACGCCATCTTTGTTTTCTGTCACCGACATGTCAATTTGTTAGTTGAATGTTTACCATTGATCGCTATGGAGTCGTATTCGATTGAAGACCGCATTAAAGTTATTCAAGAGCACTACAAAAATGGTGCAAAAATAAAAAACACGTTTCGCGCGCTTCGTCAACATTTCGGTCGCAACAACCGCCCAAACGAAACAACCATCGGTCGTCTGGTGCGTAAATTCGAGGCAACAGGTTCTGTGGCAAATCTGCCAGGCTCTGGCCGGCCAAGGAGCGTTCGCACACCGGAAAATATTGCTGTTGTGAAGGAGAGTGTGAGAGACGATCCGAAACAATCAACAACGCGTCGATCCCAAGAATTGGGCATTTCGAGAACCAGTTTGCTCCGCATTCTCCACAAGGATTTGAATGTACAAGCCTACAAGATCCAATTGACGCAAGAGCTGCGTCGGGCCGACCATTTTTCGCGCCGAACGTTCTCAGATTGGCTCCTTGAACACCGCCAAATTGATGACAATTTTTCATCAAAAATCATGTTCAGCGACGAAGCGCATTTCACTTTGAATGGGACGGTAAACAAGCAAAACTGCCGCATCTGGGCGAACGAAAATCCCCGTGAATATCAAGAGCAGCCGATGTATCCTTTAAAAGTGACTGTGCGGTGTGCATTGTGGTCAAAAGGCATCTTCGGACCTTACTCTTTCGAAAATGCGGCCGGGGACGCCGTTACCGTCAATTCTGAGCTATATCATGTGATGATAGAGGACTATTTTTTGCCGCAACTTGAAGGAATGGATATGGACGATGTTTATTTCCAACAAGACGGTGCAACATGCCACACAACCAACGTCAATATCCATCGATTGCGGTCCTTCTTCGGTAATCGCGTGATTTCGCGCAGAGGAAATGTGCCATGGCCACCAAGATCGTGCGATTTGACTCCCTTGGACTTCTTTTTCTGGGGATATTTGAAAAGCAAAGTCTACGTCAACAAACCAGCCACCCTCCAAGAACTCAAAAACAACATCATTGCCGAGATAAATGCCATAGAACCGACCATGTTGCAAAATGTCATTGAAAATTTCGACCATCGCGTGGACGTCTGTAAATCCAGTCGTGGTGAACATTTGAGCGATATTATTTTTCATACATAAATGGTATAAATGAACCTTCAAATTAAAGTACCCAACTTGATTTGAATATCAATCTTTCTTGTTTTAATATGCGTTTACTTTCCTGCGTTCGTTTTGGACAACCCCATATATTATACACACAAACCCCCGCCTCTCTTTTTCCTGAAAATAATCAGGAGCCTTTAAAACCTCAAAAAATGAAGATTGATGAACCAATTTTCAGCTTTTTTATCCTTGGTATAGTAGTACAAATATGCCAAGGACTAGCGGACAGACATACCGATAGACAAACCGACGGAAATGACTGACATGGTTCATTTTCGAAAATTATCGCGATTTTAATACTTCCCCGTCGGTGCAAGAAAAACCCGGATGTGAGGCATAACAATAGTCGTTTTTTGTTTGCCATCCATGCATCCGATTGATGACTTACCTATTAATAGAAGAAACACTAGGTACGTTGTCTTGTGAGCAGATTCCTTCCGCCAGCAGTCGGTCCCTGATTTCCCATGCAAACATCGTGGGGTTCTCTCGCTTGTAGTTGGCTATGGCGTCGACGACCGGCGGCGTGGCGACCTTGGGTTTCGAACCCCCGATCACGCCTGCCTTAAAGCTACCCGTTTCGTAATACCTGCAACAATCAGAAAAAGTTGTTAGCATAGTAAATCGTCGCGTTGGGCTTTTTGGGTCTACGGGACAGCTTCTTGTCCGCATGGTCAAACCAACGGTTTGGAGAACATGAAAACAACAATGTGAATTGTTTATCGCTGGACCAACAGTTTTTGACTTACTTCATAACTCAGTTTTTTCTGCATTACAATAAGTCATATATGTTCGACTTCTTGAGTCATACCGTTTCTTGAGCTTTTGTATTTGTCTACCAGTGTATTAGCGTTGTTTTGCAGATCGTTTTAATATGGTATCTTCTGTAGTTGTATTATAAATCTGATAACTGTCAGTGCAGTTTTCTTATACGTACGAGTATAGGCACTTAACCAGGCAATTTGATGGTTGGATTTTTCTAAAATTCGATTGAGAACTTGCCTAACAATAAGAGACACGTATTCAAAAATTTGTTGTTACTGAGTGTTCTTTGTCTCTTAACTGTCTTTTGGACAGTTTAACCAGCCCAGCTGGGCTGGGCTATATTCATCGTAGTTCATTAGGCAGTCGGGAAAAGCGCAAACAAAAGCACAGACAACCCTTCCCTCTGTTCGTCCAAACGCACTGCGCGATTGTTGTCAGCCTGGCGAAATTTATTTTTAGCCGGCGTGGAAAAAATGTGGTGGTGAAGTGTCGCAAAGCACATCTTGCTACCAGAAATATCGCTGAATGGGCCCTATTATATTATAAAGCGCCCGCGCCGAGTGTGCTACCGATCCGTACTATGAAAACATAGACGTAGCAGCAAAGTTTATCCAGAAAATATAAGTTAGATCACGAAAATTACGTACTATCGGCCATTCACTGATCAACAGCCAAAAAATATCCTAAATAAAATCAACAAAATATTACTATTTTTAATGTGCTAAAACCGGAATGAAACTTATTTTTTCAATATTAGTTCAAGTTTTAGAGATACGGTAATTATATGTGTTCCTGCTGTGACAGTGTTAATATATTGTCATTCACAAGATTGCACGTGCTACATTTTTATATTCGGCAAGGAAAGATGATCTAATCGGCATGATTGTGTTACGTTATACATACGTGAACATTATATTGTTTTATATTAGCCATTTTTTCCTCAGTTGGCTGACAGCGTTCATGCAAGATGTCTCGAAAGTGTGTAAACAATCCAGATCAGTTTTGTTACGTGTGTGGTGATGTGACTTTTGCATCTCAGAGACGGTCTATTACTCCACTAATAACAAAGGCATATCAGCTTTATTTCGGTTGTAAACTAGGTGATCAAGACAAACAGTGGGCACCCCACATCTGCTGTAATACATGTGCTTCAAGTCTGAGGAGCTGGTTAAATGGCAAAAAACGGTATATGCGCTTTGCTGTCCCAATGGTTTGGAGAGAGCCTACAAATCATATTAATGATTGTTACTTTTGCATGGTACCTTGTGTTGGACAAGCCACAGGTATGTCCAAGAAAAAAAAATCGGTTATTAACTACCCAAACAAACCATCTGCGATGAGACCTGTGCCTCACAGTGACGAACATCCTATTCCAAAACCCCCAGAATCCTACACTTGCGAATCAGAAAACGAATCAGATCATGGCGATCGAGTGATTCGCCAGGAAGAAGATATGCCATCAACGTCAAGAGATCCTGATTTTATACCGAGCACGTCATGCCACCAACCTCACAAAATAACACATTCAGAATTAAATGATCTTGTAAGAGATTTAGAACTTCCAAAATGTAAGGCAGAGTTACTTGGATCAAGACTGCAGCAGTGGAACTTGTTAGAAGACGATGTTTCGGTATGTGTTTTTCGTAATCGCCACAAAGGCCTAGAACCATTTTTCAATATGGAGAATAACTAGGTTTTCTGCAGTAACATTAACGGCTTACTGGCGGCTTTAAATATAAACTATAACCCAGAAGAATGGAGATTGTTTATAGACAGTTCAACATTGAGTTTAAAGGCAGTGTTATTGCATATTGGAAATATTTTACCATCTCTTCCTGTAGGGTATGCAGTTCACATGAAAGAATCATATGACAATATGAAGTACAGTACAAGTATTGACATGCATAAAATACGATGAGCACCAATGGCATATTTGTGGCGATTTGAAAGTTGTTGCACTTTTACTTGGGCTGCAGCTAGGCTACACAAAGTTTTGCTGTTTTTTGTGTGAATGGGACAGTCGGGCAAAGGCACTTCATTACACCAGACAAAACTGGCCGGTTCGTCAATTCCTAGAGCCAGGTCAAAAAAATGCCATTAGTAGATTCGAAAACATTTTTAGTACCACCACTGCATATCAAGTTGGGCCTAATGAAAAACTTTGTCAAGGCATTAGATAGAGATGGGTCAGCTTTTCAATAGCTGCGTCAGAAATTTCCAAGACTAAGTGAGGCAATGGTTAAAGAAGGTATATTTGTTGGGCCACAGATTCGAAATATTTTGAAAGATACACAGTTTGAAAACACTTTAACAGGTATTGAAAAAACTGCTTGGAATGATTTCCGTCTGGTGGTCACTAATTTCTTGGGAAATAGAAAAGCTGACAACTATAAAACCCTTGTCAAAAATATGCTGTCATCGTATCAAAAGATGGGCTGTAATATGTCTCTTAAGATACATTTCCTACACTCACACCTGGACTTTTTTCCTGACAATTGCGGAGCCGTAAGTGATGAGCACGGCGAACGTTTTCATCAGGATATTTCAACAATGGAAAAAAGGTACCAGGGAAAGTGGAATCCTTCCATGCTTGCAGACTACTGTTGGACTCTTAGTAGAGATGCTCCAGAAACGATCCATAAAAGAACAGCAAAAAGACAGCGCATATAGTGATTCTTATAAGTATATGAATCTTGTTACTTTTTTAATATATCCTTAAAAATAAAAAGTTTTTTTTCTAAACCGCAACTAATTTTTTTATTTCATTGTCATTTTTGGATTCAGCGCCCTAAAATTAACACTTTTCCCACAAGATACAATTAAAAAACTAAAATTTGTTGTCCAGTGTTATCACAAAGTTGTCAGTGAGCGCGATCAGATGACACATTGTCATGATACTGGATATAAATTACGAGCAAAAACTGTCATAAGAAGCGATCTTTTCTCTATTTGGCTCCAAAATTATATGAACACGTACCGAAAGACTTAAAACAATTTCGAAATACGCATAATTTTGAAAAGGAATTATCAAAATGGATACGCGCAATAGGAATACAACGTATTGTTGAATTGCTATCAAATATGAACAACCTCTTTGAAATAGTTTTTCTGCAAGTTCCTTTAATTTTTCTGTTTCGATTTTGGAACACATTCCAACACAGAGCTCAATCATCTACAGGCATTATCCTTCTGTGGATTGAAACATTCATTTACCCATTCTATGTTGTTATTGTTATCATATAATGGAGCAAATGAATGTCTATAACTACATGGGTGAAGCCAGCACCTTCTTACGTCTCTATCTCATGGCCACAAACTATTCCGTCGTCACCTTATGGGTACGTGCATCAAGGTCCCGGCACAAAATCAAATGACGTTTCCTAAAAATATCTGTCCTTCAGTGTCAGCGCTCTATTTTGAGGTTATGTTACAAATATCTATTTACATTAAATTGTTCACGCCTTTGACTTATATTGTCTGACCATCTGTTTAATCTGCCTGCAATTTCCTACACAGAAAGAAAGCATAACCTCACAATAGGAGAGCGCTGACGCTGACACGGAGCAGTAGAAATCTAGAAATGCCCCATCCTTTCTGGAGGAGAGAAGACACTGAAAATCAAGGAACGATTGACGATACGGCCCTTGACGACTGGAACAGTTGACTACGTCTATGTCCACCGGGTGGAAAACAAGCCGCCTTGATGTTAGCGACACGTGAAAACAGTTTTAGAATAACGCGGTCTATTAGGATCAGCACCGGATTTTTTGCTGGCCGGTGTGATCTCCGGCGGAGGTGCAGACAATGTTGCTCTGTTCGATGTGTCCGCAAGAGGAACGGGGCGGGGATATCCATACTATGAAACTCGCGACTGTTCTTATATTAGACCGATAGCAACTTCAAAGAAGGAAGCGGAGTTGAGCATCTGGCACGTTTGCGAAGGCGACATTTCTAATAGTCAGTTGTTAGGACTTTATGGAGCGTAACAGCTTAAGAGCAATGGTGCAATTCTTCGGCGCTACTCCGAATTATGAAAATTCATAGAAACAAAAAAAAAGAGTGTCCCAATAGATATGTGTAGGCATACATAATATTTTAGACACTTTTCTGCATGTGAAAGATTCACTTGAAAAGGGCGAAAACATATTACCACAATTTCAAATTTACAAATTTCCAATCCCTCCTCGTCATTTCTGGCGCAGGAGGTAAAAAGCTAAAGTTTGAAAATTATCAATTTTCGGCTAATAAATTCTACAATGCGGTTGAAAAACAAAGTATGGCTCTTCTATGCAACTTTCAGTGAAATTTATAGAAGCATGAGATCTGGGCTTGATGTTTTTGTGTCCATGATTTGAAGCAGGACTGAGGTTGAGGTGTCCTAGGCTTACTTCAGTTCCTAGACAATTCTTAAGTAAGGTCTCAAGATGAGTCAAGGACTGAGAGCAAGGCTGAAGTAAACAGTGAGTTTCAAGTAGATAGTATGAAAGGTAGATATCCAAAAAGGGTGTCTTAGGGGGTGTCCCTCAATCCTAGTTAGACACACACACACACATAATTGATTTTATTAGCATACGACGCTCTTTTTAATTTACGTCGTTGACATAAAGAACCATGTTATTTGTCTGGTGGTTCAAATGAAAAAGGTGTTGAGGTACCGGGTTCTAAATACAACTATCTGCCAACAATGCCATGATGTATATCTAGGACATACATGTACTGAGCTTATGAACTAGCAGTTGACATTGTAAGCGAGATATAATAAATTGTGGGTTGAGTTGACACTAAGGTAAAAACGGACGCGTATTTATACTATTTAAATGGTTT